TTTATAAACATAAATGAATATAACAATAAAAATTGTCCAAAATAAAAATGAAGAAATAATTTACAGATCAGTCATAATAGTTCCCTGTTTCAAAACCAAGAAACTTATTTTCATATAATTAGAATTCTCAAAGAAAAGTTCTAACACTGTGTGTTGAAGACGTTTGTTCCATCACTATTCATTGTACAAATGGAGTACTTTTTGCCAGACCTGTCTTGAATATTGGGGGTATAGCTCTGAACAAGGCTGAAGTGATCCCTGCCTTCATGGAAATTACAGTCAAATATGAAAGGCACCTGAAATAGCTATACATGTTATTATAATGGTGAAGAATGTTATAAGGAGGTAAAGAATGCAGTGAGAATACATAAGGCAACAAAGCTCCTCTATGACAAAGGTGGCAAACTCTACTGTTCTGTTTTTAAAAATAATGCTTTAAGACCGGGCATGGTGGCATACGCCTATAGCCCCAGCGCTTGGGAGGCTGAAAACAGGAGGCTCACTATGAATCCTATCTGTGTAGTGAGACCCTGTAGATGCTGTACTAAAATACATAAAAAAAGAAAAAAAGAGATAATGCTTTATTGGGGTATAGTCATGTTCATTTTTTTCACATATTGTGTATGGCTGATTTCCTGCTAAGTGGCTGAATTAAATGATTTTGATAGGTATTATATAGACTGTAAACCTCAAATATTTATTATGTGGCTCTTTGAACAAGACGTTTGCTGACTCCTGGTCTAGCAGATCAGGCAAGGCTTTTCTTACTTACTGATTTTAAAGCAGGACTTAAGGATGAGTAAGTTTTGAGTGTGCCAGGTAGTATAGGGAGGGAGCCTGCTGGGCAGAGGAAATAGCTGGGTAAAGGCCTGGGAGTGGAAAGAGGACATACTGTTTAGAGCACTCAGGTGCAGCTGGGTGTGGTGAGCTCACTGAGGAGAAGGCCTTCACGTCCACATAGGGCCTTGGAGGCTGTATTTGTCCTTCGAGGAGTGGGACCCAATGGAAGGTCTTTAAATGGAGCAGAGATGTGACCAGATGAGGCGATGTACATTTGAGAACAAGCACTAAATGTAGAATGGTGTGGTGTGTGGGCATCAAGAGACCTGTAGGAGGCTCCTGCAGTGCCCCAGTGGGTTGTTTTGGTGATTTGAGTGAGAGTGGCAGCAATGGGAATAGAGAGAATGGCATATATTCTGGAAATGTCTAAAAGATAAAATGTATAGAGTGGATGGGTAGGGGTGGCTACAAAATGAGGTGAATGGCAGTGCCACTTACTGACATAGGCATCACTAGCACTGAAAGCTTTGGGGAAAAGGTAATTTTTGATATATAGAGTTTCAGTTACCTTTAAAGACATCCACGTGGAAATGTCAGGTATGTGGCTAGTAGTCTCAGAATTGGGAGGACTAAGTATGATGGCACTGATGTCAACATTTGGTGGTGCCAGTGAAAGAAGAACTGACAGAAGACAAAGAAGAAAGTAGTCAGAGTGGACTCAGATTTGTACCTGGGTTAGAAGCTCTTTTGAGAAGTTTGACTGTGAAGGAGAGCATTATAAAAGGTGGAGAAAGATTTCAGGTAGAGGAACTGCACAAGACAGAGCAACATAGGCTGATGGGGAGGAAGATGTACAATGTAGTGGGTTTGTCTTTTCCGTACCTCAGATTTACTTGGCAGGCCTTTTCTGAAAACCAAATGCCCTCCTCCCTCTGATCCTGGGATGGAATCTATGTGTCCTACCTTCCAAAGACTTTTTATTCCAGTGTGCAGCCCAAATTTATGTATTTATTTTAAAAATTTATGTATTTGATACAGGGTCTCGCTATGCAGTTCAGACTTATAGTGATCTTCCTGTCTCAGCCTCCCTTAGTGCTGGGATTACAGGCATGCACCACCATACCCGGTCTCAGGACCTGCACATTGTGCCTGGGTTCCAGGATTAGCATGGTATGTAGTACTAGAGATTGAACCCTGGTCCTTGCACTTGCCAGGGAGGTGCTTAGACTGCCAAGCTACTCCCTAGCTGCCAACTTTATTATCAGTGGCATGGAGCAATGGCTCTCAAACTGTGGTACCAGACCAGTAGCCTCAGCAACACCTGGAAACTTGTTTAGATGCAGTTCTTGGGCCCACCATGTGGTTTTTTAGTGGCTGTTGATGTTTGAAAGCCACTGCTATAGAGGACCATCTGTTCACTTGGAAATTGTCATCCTTACAAAGCTGCCTGGCACACCCCTATTAGGCCTTCCTTTCTCCAGGCCTTATGCATTTAAAAAACTGTATTTTTTTTTTTTTTTTTTTCAGAACCGGGGATTGAACTCAGATCCTTGTGTTTGCCAGTCAAGTGCTTATCCTACTGAGCCATCTCCCTGGCCCCTAAAAAACTGTATTTTAAGCTATGTATAAAAGCATTTTATTTTTATTTGACCAATAATAATTGTACAGATTTATAGGGTACAGTGTGTCACTTTGACCTGTAAGCATTGTATAATTTTCAAATCAGGGTGATTTGGATGCCTGTTCTGTCAAACCTTCATCATTTCTTTGTGGTGAAACATTTGTAATCTTCCCTACTGATTCCTATTGCACAGTGGGGCTCCTGCCCTTACTTTTAAACTAAATTCAGAACTCAGAAAGGATTCATACCTGCACACTCTATTTCTGTTAAAATTAAATTTGGATATTTGAGGAAACATTGTTTAGCATCACATGATCAAGGTTCTAATTCCAAACTTGCTTTGAAAGGATGTTCTGGAGAGCTGGTAGGTAGCTAAGATGGAATCTAATTTTATCCTGAAACACCATTAAAACAACAGTAAGGAGATTTAAAAAGTCATATTTTTCCAAGATAAAGAATCCAGACAAGAAAACAAGAGGAACCAAATGCTGGTTGCTAGGAGCCATATGAGAGAAAGTCAAAATGCTGAGTGGCCTGAGGGGAAGTGGAGGGACAATCCTTCTCTATTTGTGTTGCAGAATCTTCAAAGACTCACGACTTGGTTATAGCTGATATCTCTGAAACTTAAGGTGAAAAGGAAGTGGGGCTGAACTAAATTAGATTGGGTGAAAAACCAAGAAGTGTTCCATCTCTGGCTACCCTCCCCAGCCCTCACAGATGCCTTCCCTTCCCAGGTGAGGGCTCTAGATGACCAGCGGTGGCGAGCCAAGTGGGCCAGCAGCCATGCTTCAGTTAACAGCTGTTTTTCTCTAAACTAAAACCTCAGTACTCAGGTTTAATTTTGGTGTTGGCACGTGATAAGTGGATTTCTCGTTGTAGTTTGAGCCCTCAGTCTCTAAAAGGTTTGACATCACTGATCTAGGTGTTTCTTTCCCAGAGGGCTAAATAGAAGATCTTGAGTGAGGGACCTGGTGGAGGGTGTGGAGACCACTGTGAGCAGCTTTCATGCAGCATGCTGAGGATAGGAAGCAGAAGTGAGGGTAGAGGTCCTGAAAGAACAAGCATCCTAACGTGTAGGTGAGCCTGTGGTCCCAGGGGAACTAAAGACATCAGCTTGCAGCAGTTTCCATTGCTGTGTGTGTTGTTGAGAGTGGGTGATTTTGAGGTGGGGAGAGAAGAAGGTCCTGGAGATAAGGAGGTCCAAAAATTGAATTCGGAAAGGAGTTTGTAAGATTAGGGTTAAAAGCATTCCTGTAATCCCAGCACTCAGGAGGCTGAGGCAGGAGGATTGTTGTAAGTTCGAGACCAGCCTGGACTACAAACTGATCTCAAGGCCAGCTTGAATTACATGGTGAGACCCTGTCTCAAGCAGATGAACAAAATAAAACAACCCCCCCCCCCAAATATTAGGTCTAAAGGAGGTACCACTTCCTTCAGGGCAGGAAAGATCAGGACCTAAGGGCTTATCTTTTGAGGAGTTAGACTCTGGCTTTAGTCCCTATAGCATCTGGAGGAGGGTAGACATTTAGCTGACAATTTAACTACAGCTTAAAGGATGTTGGGCTATGTATAGTTGTTGCTTTGCCATCCCCACAGGTTGGCGAATGGCTGCAGTGAGGAAGAACCTGTGCCTTAGCACATATGGGGGTGAGGGTATGAAGGCCAGCCTGTGGGTCATAAAGAAGTGGACCGAGGTGCGGTGAGGGCAGTTCAAACCTCTTTCTAATAACTAGCCAATATGTTGACTTGTGTGTTCTTAACCAAATGTTTGCTGTTCCTCTTTATGGGACAATTAAACATGCAGGTATTTAATGTTTCTGTTCTGTTTTTATTTCTTTCTTTCTTTATTTATTTGTGTGTGAGGGGCCAGCTCAGCCCACCAGGGGGTGGGGCTGGCTGGCATGTGGTGCTGGGGGATTGAACTGCGGTCCCTGTGCTTTGCCAAGCTTGTTCTAAGTAGGTGCCTTAGACCACTGAGCCATCTCACCAGCCCTTCTGTTCTGTTTTAACAGGTAATTTTTAGATGCAGAGGCCTCATCACTAATCATTGTCATACTGTGAGGTTTCCTTTTGAGGCCCGCTTGGCTGTGGTGCTAACAGATGTGCCAGACTTTCGGGGTTAGACCCATGCTCTTTACCTAGGGCTGTGTGTATGGCTAGAGCTGGGAAATCTGGAGTAGTTAGTAAGTCCTCACTAGGGTTTTGACAAAGCACACCCTACAGGTTGCTCTCTCCCTTCTCCTTTCACTGAAGGAAAAATGGTATTTGGAAGGCTTTTTCTTTGGAAAAAATTAAAAGCTGCTTATTTTTTTTTTGTCCTAAAATCACATCTTTTTATTTTATTTTAGAAGTGCATCCCTGGCTTTGGGTTGGTGAATGTTCTGCCAGTAGGTTTTCACTTTGGTTTTGACCTTTTTCATTCCAGCTGTACTACCAGGTTTTAAACTTTGCCATGATTGTGTCTTCTGCCCTCATGATATGGAAAGGCTTGATCGTCCTCACAGGCAGTGAGAGCCCCATCGTGGTGGTGTTGAGGTAAGTCCACAGGCCAGTCCCTGGGGCAGACAGGTGGAGTGGCCCTTGAGTGAGAATCTATTTGACAACAGTTACTCTAGATTTTAATTGAATAAACTCTTAGAACCTTCTTGATTAGTATCTGTTTTGAGGTTGTCCCATTTTTCTGTGATATTTTGGTGGAAAATCTTATCTGTTTCAGTAGACACTTTAGAGATTTAATTGTGTCCATACTAGTGTGCATTTAATCCACTTATAAATTGCAATTTAACTATAATGCATTATTGGGCAAATTGATCTTTAAATAACCAAGTTAAAAATGTCACTTAGTTTTCTTTGAACCTAACAGGCAGAGTGTGCCTAGTAGCTAGCAAGTGCCTGGCACTTTTTCAATCTTCTTACATAGTGATACTGTTGTAAATAGTTCCTATCTTCTACAGGCTCTTATGCTTTTAAAAGAGTTGCCTGTTTATTTGCCAACTTAAAGACCAGAAATCAACTTCATGTAGCTATAAAGTCACCCAAGGGAAAAAAAAACATAAGGCAATTTGAAATCAAATGACTAGGTCTGGGAGCTGGTAGGTGCTTCAGGATGCGCTGTCCAGCATGTCTCAAATGATTGGATCTTACTGCTGGTAAGGAGATAGGTCCTTTGATGTACCCCTCCTAAAGCTGCAGTCAAGTAATGCACCTTCCCCAGGCTACCTTGTGTGACTGGCCAAAGGGCACACTTTCAGAGGCACATTTTTCCTTTTTCTTTTTTTTTTTTTTTTTTTTGGCAGAACTCAGGCCCTTGCGTTTGCCATGGAAGTGCTTATTCCATTGAGCCATCTCCCTGGCTCTGACACATTTTTCATAAATGCGCATGCCTGAGGATAACATGGCTCTCAGCAGAGATGAGGAAACCCTGCCTCACTGGTGTTTACACTGTGCTCCAGGAGTCTTCTGAGCTCTGATGGGTAGATAGGAAAGAGGAAGGGACCAGGCTTCTGCACCCTTGACACCTTGGTCTTGCTTCAGTTGCAGTAGTTCCACTTTAATGCATTTCTTTTATTTGAAAGAAGGATTTTAAGGCTTTTTAAAAGGGGTATAGGGATATAGTTCAGTGGTAGAGCACTTGTCTAGCATGTGCAGGGCTCTAGGTTTGATCTCTAACCCAAGAAAAGGAAAAATAATTTAATACTTCAAATTTAGATGTTCCATATCATGTAACTGTTAGGCACCTAAGGCCCTGGGAGGCTATGTTACCAGTGTCTCACAATTACTTTTGGCAAAGCAATGCCCAATCTGGAAACACCTAGTTCTCCTCAAATCACGTGGGCATATTTGTACCAAGAAATAACTGTGAAGTTGCCGTCTATAGGAACTTCTTAAAAAGCATCCTTTATAGTTTGAACCAATTTTTGTTTTATAAAATAAAACATTGACCTCCCTGAGGACTGTTTGGCCCTTTTTGAACCAAGTTTTGTTTTACAAAATAAAACATTGACCTCCCTGAGGACTGTTTGGCCCTGGGGAAATCCCAGGCCCAGGAAAAAAGCCAGTGTAAATTCATATTAGGGAAACACTTAAAAGAGCTGCTGTCTCAGTTATTTTTCTCTCATTGCTGGGACAAAATACCTGACACCCAAAATAAAGGAAGGAAAGGTTTATTTAGCTCACAGTCACTGGAGGTTTCAGTCAGTATTCAGCTGGCTCCAAGGCAGAGCAGCACATGGCACAGAGAGCAGCCGTTTATGGCGGTGGTGAAGAACCGAGAGCAGAGGGAGGACTAGCGGCAACAATGGCTACAGAGAGCAAGTCTGTCTCCTTATGTTGCATTCAGGCTGCCTGCCCAGGCTGGGTGTAGTACTCTCACCCATCGGCCCAGCAGCACACACACCCATAATTCCAGTGGATCATGAGTTAATCACAAACTCTAGGAGTCCACTCCATTACTGCATGAGGCTTCAGGGGACGCCTAGACACGAACCATAATAGCTGCTTTCCTGTTGGGCAAATCGTATCCCTCAGTGCCACACTTGAGTGCACCCTTCTTGCCTCTGAGACTTGTACAGGGAGGTCTTTCCTCTCTGAAATCCTGTCATCATGGACCAAAACAGTTTTCTAGAAACATCTTCCCACTGTGTCTTCAGAAATTTTGTTGAAGAAATAAAGATGAAGCCACAAGTGAAGAAATTATTTTAAGCATTTTAATGATTGTTCTTTAAAAGAAAACACAACTCTGAAGCATTTATGTTCCACTTTGGAAAACAAAATGAATTTTGTGTTGAGAAATAATAAAGCCCTAATTTATTTTACCCAATTGTTTTCTCTTTCTTTTTCTTTTGGTCATTTCTATTGTAAGTTCCCTGTCTGTTTTTTATTCAGATTTCTTGGTTTTGAGCACCAAATATTTACAGTACTTAGTGCCCTAGTTTCACGTTAACATCCACATCCCACCAGGTGCCTGGGGACCAGCCTGACCCACTGCATGTGTCCTTCCTGCATTCTGCATCTGCTGGGGGGAAGTACAGAGGGACCAGGCCTGGGCGATTAGAAAAGAGGGCCAGTTTGGGGAGCTACTCTTTCCTATAAAGCTCCACATGGTTTTAATAGCTGGCTCTCTCTCCCTCTTTCTTCCTGATGAACAGACGTTACTTGTTCATCCTTGTTCTGCAGCCCCTGTCAAGGCATAATTTTGGCCTTGTTCTTTTCTCAAGTGTTAGAGCATTTGTGTCTATATAATGAATTCTGGTTTTTAAACTTCAGCTCCAAACAAATTTTGGTTCACTTTGAGTCCACCAAAAATTTTGGCATGGATTTGAATTGAGACGGTGGGGATTGTTTATTGACCTGCACATCAAAACTGGTCAGTATTCATTAGCCTAGGCTTTTGTAGAATGTGGTCAAAATGATAATGTTCTAGGAGGAAAACTGGGGTTCACATTTTGTCCCCAGTTGTAGTATGGCTTTAGGGTGACTCTTGCTCCTGGTTTATTTGCTTCCTGCTTCTCATTTCATCAACAAATATTTCAGTATCCTGGGTGTTGGAAATATGCTATGAAACCAGAGTTGCCCTAGCTATAAGGTCTGTAGTTCTGAGTGAAAATAATGATGTACTTATTTGTAGAGGTACAGCTTGTTCTAAGGCTAAAAACTGGCAGCTTTTACTTCAAAGAGTTCATGTTATTCTCAGTCCTTGTGCTACCTATTACAAACTGCACAGGGCTTATTAGTGCCCCTTTCATGCTTAAATCTAAGTAGAAATCGATTCCTTTCTCACATTTCATTACCACTTGAACTGAAGGAACCACAGTGTCTTGGTTTGTAGCTCCGGAGACTTAGCTGACTATTGATGAGTTTCAACTCTGACTGGTGAGTTGATTATCGTCACCTTTTGGATGCTGTTGTTAACTCTGTGTTTCTTTCAGTGGCAGTATGGAGCCAGCCTTTCACAGAGGAGACCTTCTGTTCCTCACAAACTTCCGGGAAGACCCCATTAGAGCTGGTGAAATTGTTGTTTTTAAAGTTGAAGGACGAGACATTCCAATAGTTCACAGAGTAATCAAAGTTCATGAAAAGTAAAAAGGCTTTTTGTTTTTATAATTTTGGGAGATGGTTTTAATGGTTAATTAGATAGTAGTAAAAGCACAGGATTATGTTCCTGATTCTGCCATTTACTAACTGGGTATCTTTGGAATAGCTACCTGACTATAAGTTGGATACCCACAATAAATCATATGGTGATTATGAACAAATACAGTAAAATCAAGTGAACAACTGTTGCTGTGTAAATTGAAGGGTGGGGCGTATTGTATTAGTTGCTAAAGGAGTTGCAAAGAATGCCAAATCACATTGATAAAGGATTACTTTGGTAGGGAATTGTTTTTTAAGTTGGTGAGCTTAATTTGCAGTTATTTTACAGCTAGATAAGCATTTATTATTGCCATTATTTTTTACATGGTGTATTTACTATACATTTTATTGTCTTTTTTTTCTATGTTGTGTTGAATAGAGCAGTTTCTCTGACTAGTTTAAAAATTATGCATTTTTGTTGGTTTTATTGTGAGTGCCTTAAGTTTGTTAATTTTTATTAGTACATGATATGAGAATTATATATATATATATATATTTTTTTTAGAATTATTTTTTGAAGTGTTGAAAAGCTGTTTTTCTGTATCACTTCGGCCAAAGTGGTATTTTCAGCATAATATTAGCCCTGCAGGATAAAAATTCCTTCCTCTAACTCATCTTACGGTTGGTCATGGCACATCCTGCATTGATTCTGCCCCTCGCAGACAGCCTTGCTTTTCCCCTAAATGCCAGATGACTTACCAAGATCTTCATAAGTTCTGGTTTCTTTTTTTAGAAGCAAAATAATTAACTCTGCTTCAAACATAGAGTTTTCATGAGAAGGTGAAAATGTTAACAGTATTTCATATACTTGGGTTATTCATTTACCTTTATATAGCTTAGTGTATCATTTTTATTTACATGATTTACAGAATTACATTTAGGTACAGATCTGTGTTTTTAAATAATGGAGAACGTATCATCATGTATGTATGTTAGGTACCTCTGCATTTATGGCATTAGATTTTCATTCCATTCACTGCTCCCAGATGTTCTCCAAATATATTGATACTTAAAATATTTGCTTCATTGTATACTAAATTTTGACAGTCAAGTTTCAGTTTGCACCAATATACTGGTACTGTCCTAATGGTTACCTGATATCTATTAGTAATTTACTGAGAAAGAAGCATGGTCAGACATGATATGACTCTCATCTGATTTTAAAATAATTTTTAAAGATGAAGTTGAGTGAATGATGATTATTTTCTATGTTTTGCATGAACTGTGAGAGATTGCCAAGATTTTTATATTCTTGATTTTCTGTATAACCCTGGCTGTAAATCAGTATACCCTTTTGACATAGTGTCAAATCTTCATGGGCTTTAAGTATTTTCCCTCATTATAATGGTATTTTTTTGGTCATATTGAAAGACCACACTCTTTGTAACTGCATAATGCTACGGTTTTGTGTTTTTAGTGTCAAGGCTATCCAAGAACCAGCTTAGAATGCTTAATATTAATCTCACATGTCTCTTTAACATGCCAGCTTTATGTCATTTGAGACTCATTTCCTTGCAGAAAAGATTTTTCACCACTGTGCTCAGTGGTGGAAGGAGTAATCTGTTCACACATTCTACATTAGGCGAGGAAAAGTTTTGAGGGCAGTTAGGAGCACAGCTACATATCTTGTGCTCAAGTCTGTCATCTGGGACCAAGTCTGTGTGTAGAGTGAAGAAGAATATAATTCATGCTAACAGGTGGCCCTTAGGGTCTGGAAAGGAACGAAAACAGTTCAAGTCCAGCACAGATGGTTAGGTCAGCCTCATGTCCTGACTTTGGCTTGCAGTGAATGACTGAAGTAAGCCTGGAGAAGCTCATTGTCAGCAATACTTGGGTAGGTTATGAGTCTGGACAAGATTCTGCCTGGGGATTGTTCACCTAGTCTTATCCACTAATGAATGACACTAATCCTCGTGTTTTCAGATTAAAAATAAATAAGGTACTAACTAGCTTTTTCTTCATGGAGTGAAGACAAGGAGCAAAAAGCATATCTGTATTGTATATGAATAAGTGCCTTCCTGGTATCCTAGTGCTTTGCCATGCTTTCTGTTTGTCAGGATTATTTGAGTGTGTTAGAATTTAAGTCTACAAAATTCTCTTTAGAGGCCAGGGAGATAGCTCAGTAGAATAAGCACCTGCCTTGCAAGTGCAGGGTCCTAAGTTCAATCCCCAGTACTGAGAAAAAAAAAAAAAGTCATTAGATTTGTGCTTCAGCTGAATGATTATTTTAAGCAGTCATTTTAGACCAAAAGAAGGTCAAGTATTCTTTGATTGCTTTCTAAATGTTCATGTCTAACCAGAATGTCTTAGGTAAACTATAATTTTTTAATGATATTGTGTTGCAAAAAAATTTTGAGAGGATATTATTTTGCTTTCCAGAGATAATGGAGACATCAAATTTCTGACTAAAGGAGATAATAATGAAGTCGATGACAGAGGCTTGTACAAAGAAGGCCAGAACTGGCTGGAAAAGAAAGATGTGGTGGGAAGAGCACGAGGGTGAGAATGAACTTTTGTGTGTAGACGGTGCAGAGCGAGAGAAATGTATTGAAAAACAGAGAAACTAAATTTATAGGAAAACAGAATCATAATAATATATTTCAGGAGCACTTTAAGTAGTTCTGGTTTATACTGTGAAGACTAAAGAAAACCTAGAATTTTCTAAGGACCTAAAATCTACCACTAAAACCTAGTATGTGAACTATGTCATAGGTTTAATTCTATTTCAGAATAAGCCGTCAGTTACAGATGTGTTATTTGTGGGTTATAAATAACAATGGCAAGAAATCCTTTCAGGTATGACCTTCTGGTGAATGTTCTGGGAATTCTGAGGGCCCAATAGATGTATGTATATGCACAAGTAATGTACAGTGTTACCCAGAAGATTTAGGTTGTTTTCACCAGAAGTGTGAAATATTTACTTGTCAGTTCTCTACCTTTATCTTTTAAAATGGCTACACACTATTCTAATAATAAGCATCACTTTGGTAATCAAACATCTGTTGGTAGACTTTTTGTCATAGTAAATATTCAGATTATCTTTTTCTTTTCACAACTCAAAACAGTTTTGTGGTAAATCTTTTAATATTTAATTTGCATGATTGTTTCAGCAGAGAGTTCTGATTCTGAGCCTATATTCTTAGGGAAAAAGCAGCTGGGCCTGATGGTGCATGCCTCTAAATCTCAGCACTTGGGAGACTGAGGCAGGAAGATTGCTGTGAGTTTAAGGCCAGCCTGGGCTACATAGTGAGCTCAGGTCAAGCTGAACTACACAGCAAGACCCTGTCTCAGAACAAACCACAACAGCAAAACCAAAAACCAAAAAAGGACTTCTTTAGGTGACCCTTTTAATATTTAACCCTTGTTAAATGTCTTTGAAATGTATTCATATTATCTGAATTTGAATTTCACTAGCTGTTATAAGGCTGGAGAGACTGGCTACCATTGTGTAAGATTTAGCTTTAGTCATCAAATTATTGTGTAAGGATTCTTGGTACCTCTCTTTAACCATTTTTCTAAACTCTTAGGTTTCCTCTTGAATATCTGAAGGGAGGAGGCAAGGAGGGCTTCCCTCTTTTCAGTCTTGTTTTTCTAACAGTGGATATAATTCTGTGAACAAGAAAGGGTTAGAAGCTATTGCTTGTTGGCTGGAGGGCACTGTGGGTGTGTTACCCTACTTGCATTATCAGAGATGGGGAGACAGGTCATACTGATGTCAAACTGATGAGGTACTGATACTAATGTTGTCAACATATTCATCAGCTCTGATCTTTCTCTTTCTGGGATCTAATCATATTTGAGTACAGGTTATGGGATTCTTATGTATTTACTGCCTTGTAAATGTATTTGTCACACCTGAATAGCACCATGAAATTCAAACGATGATTCTTCAGATTGCAAACTATTGATCTGTGTGCTTTAAATCATTATCCTATAACAACTTATATGGGGACCTTTTGAAATTTTCTTCCTTAAAAAATAAGAAATATTTCCCTGGCAAGCGCAAGGCCTGAGTTCAATCTCGGTTCTGAAAAAAAAAAAAAAAAAGAAATAGATTTGTGAAAATTATCTATTCTGTTTGTATGAATGGCTCAACAAATGATTCCTATTGTGCCAAATGAAGAGGAGTAGCATTGCTACCTCAAATCATGTACTTGCTTAAAAAAATTATCCTAGTTGATAAGATTGTTTATTTTTACTAATAAAGCCCTTTGAGACAAAGGTAAATATTATGCTTACAATCACAGTCAGTTGTATCATAATATGGAAGATTCATTTCCTAAAGCTGACTTATAGTGTGTCAATTATTATCATAAACAATCATATATTTCTTGCTTTTTATTCCTATAACTTAGGTTTTTACCGTATGTTGGTATGGTCACCATAATAATGAATGACTATCCCAAATTCAAGGTAGGAATTTATATGTGTGTGTTTCTTATTTATTTTTAAGTTTTGAGGATTTTATTTGTACAACTGTAAAGAGGCAATCTTCTTAAAATATTGTCATTAATTTTTCTGCAGAGCACATATAATTAAAAGCAAATTGACATGACACTTGGTTGACATTTAAATTAATTATTTAAAATAGCACCTTTTTATCTTTCATGCTCATAGTGTATTCTAAAATGGCACTTATGTAGTTGTTGCTTATTATAATGGAAATTTTCAAACATGCAAAGAAGCAGTACAATAAAGCCAGGAATATTTATCTGCTAGCTTCAATAGAAATGGTGTGTTTATTTGGGGGGAAAAACACTTGAAAAACAATGGGAAACCAACCTAGAAGTAAGCTCTGTGCCAGATGTCTGTCAGGTGTTTGATCCGTAGTGCGCTGATGTATTTTTGGGCCTTCACCGCAACGTGGTATTGAGCAGCTAATTTGGAGAACAAGGCATGGGGGAGAGGTCATCTTTTGATTCTGTTCTCAGTGCAGAACTGAACAGACTCATCTGAATACAGTACATTTATAAGCGAAATGTGTTTGTGGACCTTATAGTAATTTTCCATTGTGTTTTCTTTGCAGTATGCGCTTTTGGCTATAATGGGTGCATATGTGTTACTAAAACGTGAATCCTAATGTGAGAAGCTGTTCCTGGGACCAGACTGAAGTGAATTCTGTTGAAAAGAGAAAAAGTAATATATTTGAAATGTTCCACTTTCTGTATAAAAGGAAACTCTGTGGAGATGTTTTTGTCTTGTCCAAATAAATGATTCATCAATAAAGATTGTTTTCTTTGTGAGCTCTGATTGGAATCCGCCCAGTCTGTGCTGCCTTGCTAGTCACTCTGACCGAGCTAGAGGGTCTGCACGACTTCAGAAACAGGTGAAACAGGCCCCGGTGCAGGGCTTGGCTTGCTCCTGGGGACAAGGCACAGCCAGTGTGCTAGTGTTCTAATACCTGCACTTCAAAATAAAACTCTCTTAACAAAATGACATTTCTTAGGACAGACAGGCTTTTGAGGACATAGATTTTTAAAAATTTATTAAAAGTGTAACCTGTTAAATTAATAAAGCCAAACTTTAGACATTAAAAAAAAATAAAATAAATTAATAAAGCCTAAAACCTTTAGAAGGAAGGAATGCAATCTGCTTAGTTTTCATGGAGTGATATATCTTGAGGTGGTTTTTTCTGTTATTTGGAAAGTGTTTAATAATAAAACAGTGGACACAGCCTTAAGACAACTGCAGATGAATATGGACTAGTGAAGGGGACACATTCCTTCCCTCAGTCTTCCTTTTTTATTTCCCAGAGATCTCCGCTTGCTCTAGATAGTCCTACATCTTAAATCCTTTCTCACTGAAATATTCATCAAGCACTTCTATCCCCACCAGTCTTAGGTACTGAAAGTAAAAAGTCCCAGTCCTGGTGTGGGATATAGCGCAGTGGAAGAGATAATAAACCTCTGACTTCAGGTTGTGATGATTGCTGTGAAAAAGCAGGGTAAGCAGATAGAGGGTGACAGAAGACTGTCTCACATAGAGGTCAGAGCTGTCTGAAGAGGCAGACGACACCAAGCAGAGTTGAAAGAAAGGAAAGGAGGAAGGCATGACAGGCCCGTGAAACAGCATTGCGGCCAGCGGGAAGTACCGAGGGGAAGGTTGGTGGCAGGCTGCAGTGGTTTCTTCCTCGGTTTCCTCCAGGACCTGCAGTTCGCCCAGCTGTACTTAAACAGACTGACCAAGAGGTCTAAGGTGGGGCCTTCCTGGGCACTGCTGGGGTTGCCGGTGCCCAGACCACACTGTGGCAGAGGGATACCAGGAAGGCCAGGATATTTAAAATACACGTTTCAGTTTTACCAAAGTGTTTTGTTTTCAATTGAAGAATATAGCATTGACATTCAACCAGAACTCACAAACACACCTCATTTATTTAGATTTGTCCAATCTAAGAATTTAGAAACCTTAACAGTCCCTTCAGTTTCTGTGTGGCCTAAGCAAGGTGCTTAAGGTCCCTCATCTCTGAAAGGAGGTGGTGAACTGTACTTAGCCCTGCACTTTTGTAATAAGCAGGTAGTAGCACTGAATGCTTGTAGCCAAGTGCTGTGCATGTGCACAGCGTGCACTCCACACAGATCGCCTGTGGTGCTTTCTTCCTCTTCAGCCTAAGCCTGTGCCACTCACCCGCACAGTTCCTCCTCTGAGAGAGCTCCCAACTCGGGAAAGACCAGCAGGAGAGCTCTGTTGGGGGGCAGCTTGCCCTCACATCCTTTCTGTCTACTAAATAGGCTATTGCAACAATAATAGACCTCATTCTGTTGAAATCAGCAAAATGAAAATTTACAGAATACTTCCTAAAAACATGATTTTCTTCTGCCCTTTAATAAACTTTTTTAAGAAAAATAGTTTTTTATCTTCTTTTAACTAAAAATAGAATTTTAAAATGTTGGGTCAAAACGTCATTATAGTAAGTCCCCAATTCACAAACATTCAAGTTTCAATTTTTCACAAATATAAACACATGAACATTCATAGATATGAATAAAACACAGAAGTAGTTAGCATGTCTGCTGCCTTTATTAATTGTGTGTATGTACGTGTCTCTATGCACATGTGTGTGCCTTCACTGGACTTTTGAATGAATCCAACTGAACCAGTGTTGTCTAGGAACTGGGATAATAGGCCTGCATCACCACACCCAAATCTGAATTTCTTTTATCTTAGAAAGGCTGGTGAGGGATTTAACAATCTCATCACCTCCTTAGGTTTTGTGGTTGGTTAATAGAAACTTTAAAGAGGCTTTTAACATGGCTGAACTTTGAATAATTTGTGACATGCCTAACCAACACTGTGAGGAACTTTGGTGGTTTTTGTTTTGTTTTGCGGTACTGGGAATTGAACTCAGAACCTTGCACTTGCCAGGCAAGCGCTTATTCTACTGAGTTATCTCCCTGGCACCATTTACCATTTCCAGTTTTTTTTTTTTTTTTGTAGTGTCTTTAGTACAGGGTCTACAGGGTCTAACTACATAGATAAGATTCATAGTAATCCTGTTTTCAGCATCCCAAGTGCTGGGATTATAGGCACATGCGCCACCATGCCCAGGTCCAATCACTATCTCAGTGTGCCGCAGGGGCAGGGGCAAGGGCAGGGGCAGGGGCAGGGGCAGGGGCAGGGGCAGGGGCAGCACTGGATGCCAGGGATCGAACCCTGGTCTCTGCATCTGCCTAAGCAGGCACTTTAATCTGCTGAGTTATCTAGCCAGCATTGATCTATCTGGCCATCCCTGACCTATCTGGTCAGCCTCTGGAACTTCGGAAAGTGTTTAATAATAAAACAATGAACACAGCCTGGAAGAGAACTGCAGATAAATATGGACTGGCGAAGGGGACACATTCTTTCTTTCAGTCTCCCTTTCTTATTTCCCAGAAATCTCTGCTTGCTGTAGGTAGTCCTACATCTGAAACCCTTTCTCACTGAAATATTCGTCAAGCACTTCTATCCCCAGATAGAAGGCAGTGGAAGTACAAAGGTCCAGTCCTGGTGCGGGATATAGCATGGTGGAAGAGATAATCTGTTACCAACAAAGTGAAAAGACAACCCACAAATTTGGAAAAAGCTTAACTAATAAGCACTCAGACAAAGGTCTGCTCTCTAGAATTTATAAAGAACTAAAGAACATTAGGGCCCCTAAATTTAAAGACCCAGTCCAGAAATGGGCATCTGAGATGAACACATACTTCTCAGAGGATGAAATTAAAGAAGCAAATAAATATATGAAAAAATGCTCCACATCACTAGCCATCCACAAAATGCAAATTAAAACAACATTGAGATATCATCTCACCCCAGAAAGAATGGCTATCATAAAGAAATCACCCAACAACAAATGCTGGAGAAGCTGTAGGGAAAAGGGAACCCTTCTCTACTGCTGGTGGGAATGTAGACTGCTGCAACCATTATGGAAATCAGTGTGGAGACTCCTTAAAAAGCTAGGCCTAGAAATCCCATTCAAGCCAGCTCTCCCCCTACTGGGAATTTTCCAGGAGGAACTGAAAACGTCATATCATAGTGATATATGTGTGCCTATGTTTATAGCACCACAATTTGTGATAGCTAAATCTTGGAAACAACCAAGATGAGATCTATTTCTTTCCTTTATTGCTCATTCAAGGAATCTGTCATTTTTCTAATATCTATTTTTTTATCAATGTCTTCTTTAGAAGCAGTTATTAATTCTTTTATTGCAGTGTTTTTTTCAGAATGGGTTTCCTCCCTATGTTTCTGTAGTTGGTTCTTTACTTCAGATGCTATGAGTTCCAAGAATTCTTTTCTAATTTCAGAAAATTCCACTCTGAGTTCCTCTATGACTTTCTGCTGTTGCTTATTTACTATCAACACTATTAATTCATACATTTGAGCTAAGCTAGTGTCCTCTGCACTTGTTCTGGGTGGGCATTGGGTTTCCTCCATATGTTTCTGCATTTGATTCTTACTGCAGATGTTATTAATTCAGGGATTTCTTTTTTGATTTCCAATCTGAGTTCCTTTACACCTTTCTGCAGCTGTTTCTTTATTTCAGAAGCCATTGATTCATTGATTTCAGCTGTGTGACTCCCACTTTGTTCTATGTTAGTGTCCTCTGCACTTGTTATGGGTTGGCTTGGGTTCTGAGATTGCATTTTGCTCCTTCTTGTTGTTATTTTGTGTAGCACTGTCTTCTGACCTTTGTTGTAGATCTTTGGTGCAGCACCCACTGAAGTTCAGGTGCAGATCTACAAAGTTTGGATTTATCCAGCTGTGCCTGGCTTGGGTCTGGCTGCTGTGCTCAGCTCCTTCCTGCTGCCACCCTTGGGGGTGAACCTGTTGTGCCCCTCTGGCAAGATGTTCTGCTCCTGGACTAGCTGGGTGGTTCTGTCCCTTACACCCACTGTAGGAATTGCAGCTGCAGGGTTTTACTCCAGGCCTGTAATCCAGGTCTGAGCTAAGTCTGGAGGGGACAAGGTGGAGTAGCGGGGAGAGGCAGCTCTCCCACACACTCACAGGGCCTGGTCTAGGACTGGATCTGGGGGTTCCCGGAATGCGATAAAAATTCCTACTTGGTGGGTGGTGGGGAGGTGCTGCGAAGTAGTGGGGGGCATCCCAAGGGATTGAAGAGGGTCTCACCCACGCTGTTCCTGGGCTGGGACCAGTAGGTCCCGCCGACGAAGGGTAGCTAGAAGCTCTCCCACACACTCATGTGGCCTGGGCTAGCACTGGATCTCCCTGTTAAAACTTTGGACCAGCACACAAAGCTGGGCTGGTTAAGCACTGTTATGAGGAAGAGGAAGCCTGAGCTTCCTAAGTAAGCAAGGTGAGACTCTGAAGCAGGAGAAGAAGCCTGGGCATCTGCAGCTCTCCAGGTGACTGATGTGAGAAACACAAGAAACAGACATTGGCCAAAACTGGGAATCAGCATGGTTAGGATGCTGAGTTGTTTGTATTATCCTGCTGTTCTTCATGAAGCCATTTTCAAGTTGTTCTTTTTTTTTTTTTTTTTTCAGAA